TTCAAATGACCATGAACGAAGCTTTCCGCCCGCTCTTAGATAAGTGCGTCATCGTATACCTGGACGACATACTAATCTACAGCCCTGACAGAGCACAGCACTTACAGGACATCGAAGCAGTTTTTAAAATACTGAGTGAGAACCGCCTACTGACAAAAGCGTCTAAGTGTGAGTTTTTACAGGACCGCCTGGAATTTTTGGGACACGTTATTTCAGCTGCAGGAGTGGAAATAGACCCGAAGAAAATTGCGACGATTCAAGCATGGCACGCGCCGAACAACTTGGCCGAGTTGCAGAGTTTTTTGGGGTTCGTCAACTACGTGCGCCGGTCCGTCCCCGACATGGCGAAGCTGACTGCCCCACTGACAGACCTGCTGAGGAAGGGGGTTGAGTACAAGTGGGGGGGGAAAGAGCAAGCTGCCTTCTCGGCCCTCAAAAACATTTTGTGCTCACCGCCCGTGCTTCACATCGCAGATCCACACCGTCCGTTCGAGCTCGTCACTGACGCAAGTGACATCGCTGTGGGAGCAGTACTGTTGCAGGACTTCGGGAACGGCCTCCAGCCAATCGCGTACGAGTCCCGCAAGCTGCACCCGCCCGAACGCAACGACCCGATACACGACCGCGAAATGTTGGCGATCGTGCACGCGTTCAAGGTTTGGCGGTGTTACCTGACGGGCGCCGACGTGACAGTACGGACAGACCACCGATCACTACAGTACCTACGCGCCCAACCAAATCTCAATCCGCGACAGATCCGCTGGTTGGACTACCTCGAGTCCAACTTCCACTACACGGTTACGTACAAGAAAGGCGCCTCCAACATCGCCGACGCACTCACTCGCCCTACCGCCCAACTCCATGCCATCCTACTCGCCCAAACCAACCCGCTTTTAACAGGCCTATTCACCCACAAATACCGCACCGACCCGTTTTTCACGGCCGGAAATTCACAGCAACTGGCAGAAGCTAAAGGAGTTTATTACGTAAAAACAGGCACCAACCGCATCTGGGTACCCGCGTACTCACTACTGAGGGAGCTGCTACTGCAGGAGGCACACGACGGAATTACCTCGGGACATTTTGGGGTAGAAAAAACGCGACAGCAACTGCAGCGGTATTACTACTGGCCGGAGCTGTTGACCGACGTGCAGCAGCACGTGGGCTCGTGCCCCACGTGTCAGGTGATGAAGAGCTCGAGGAAGCGGAAGGCGGGTCAATTGCAGCCGATACCACCGCCCGAGCGCGCCTGGCAGCAGGTTACCATAGACTTCGTCACAGGGTTACCTTCGAACCCTGGGGGTAATGACGCGGTGATGGTCGTCGTTGACAGGTTGACGAAGATGGCACACTTCGCTGCGAGCAAAAAGTCGATCTCAGCCGAGGAGACCGCTCGTCTGTTCATCGCAGCCGTTGTTCGCCTGCACGGGATACCAGCAGCGATTATTAGCGACAGGGACACGAAGTTCACCAGCAACTTCTGGAAGAACCTCTGGGAGCAGTTCGGAACCAGGCTGCAGTTCAGTTCGTCGTACCACCCCGAGACCGACGGTCAAACGGAGCGGACAAATCAGACGATGGAGCAGTTGATTCGTGCCACATGCGACGACCCCACGACTTGGGAGCAGCAGCTGCCGCTGATCGAGTTCGCGTACAACAACGCCACGTCAGCGACGATGCAGCAGTCCCCTTTCTACCTGAACTACGAGCAAAATCCTACAGTGCCCTTGACGCCGAGTCCGGACAACCCAACACCACGCGCACAGCAATTCGCCGAAATTCTGCAAGCTGCCCGCACCAGAGCCACAGAAGCAATTAAAAAAGCAAACGTCATTGCTAAGCGCAACGCTGACCGCCACCGCCGCCCAGTCACATACCAGTCAGGGGATTACGTACTGCTTGACACGCAAAACTTCGACCGCGCTACTGTGGCCCATTCCAAATCAGCCACATGATCACGCCAGTAACCGCGCACCTACTATTACCGACCGACTGGTACATCAGCCCTTCGTTCCACGTCAGCTTGCTTCGCCCATACATCCCAACCACAAGCCAACTGCCTCGCCACCGCCCGCCATCCATGACTCGCCCTGCATCAGAGCCGATCATCGAACCCGAAAAAATTCTGAGTCATCGGATTCGCCACCCCACGGGAATCAGGAGGATTGAATTCCTCGTTCGCTGGAAGGACCGCACGCCAACTGAAGATAGCTGGGTGCCCCTGGCCAACATTGAAAACCACCCTGCCCTGCAAGTGTACCTGAGGAGCCGGGGATTCCGCGATATACATGCACTCGCGTAGCGGAGGGGGCTTCTTGAGGGGGGGGGGGTAGTGTAAGGAATTTTCTCGGCATTCCTTACGGAGCCCGACTACATCGCGTACAGCAACAGCCGTTGTTCGCCCGTCACTGCTAACGGGACTTCGCCAACTTCGCGCGCACTGTTTTGCCAAACCTCGCACTGCTGGCCCGGCCGTGTCGGCCTACGCTTCGGGACTAGCCCGAGCCTCGCTGCCAGCATAGCACTAGCTAGCTCGCACGCACCGCGTTACCGTTTGCATGTTTCGCGTATAAATGTTCGCTAATGCCTTCGCTTCGCTCACATCTTTGTACTCGTTTGACACCTTAGTGCAATTTCTCGCTACTTCGATTCATTGCACCCGTAACAGTGAGTGAGAATACGCCGTCAGCCCATCAGCAAGCGCAGTAGGCATTGTATTACTGCACCCCATCCCATTTAGCATAAGGACGCGTCACAATTGCGACATCGATTCTGTGGGAGATCGATATTCTGGGTGTACAGTAATTCGTCGTGTTTTGTATCCCGTTTTCGTCACAGTTCGCGAAGACCCGACACACCTCACCGAACGCGATGTCCCTTCCATATCGATCTGTAACCGCACTCAAATCCTACGTATTGCATTTAAAACTGATAAAAATGGCTTCTAACCCCGCTAACTATCGAACCTGAGGACGAACGTGGCACATCTGGCTCGGAGGAGATCGATTCTCACAGCTTCGGTGTGGACCACGATCCTCCCTCGATGTCGCAGTTGTGACGCGTCCTAAGTCGAGTCGTGGCGTGACAGGTCCCGCTGGAGCTTCTTTCTGCTAGAAACGACGAAGGTTTTTTGCAAATAATCAGCATTATTCACCTGAGGCGAATAAGCGCAGAGGAGCCTCTTACCGACCGGTCGCTTCTGAACGAAGCTGCAGCAGCTCCCAGGAGTGACTTTTACCTCTTACCGTTGCCTCGTAACCCGCGGTCGTCGCAAATCTCTACTTTTAACCATCCACCCGCTCATCCCTCCACCCGCCCACGCACACCGCCCGCGCCAATCGCAACTCCACGTCTCCACCCATCCAAATCTCCCCCTGTCGAAACGCCCTCACCAGCCGTCCGATACGCCACCCCGCGCGCGGCGCCATGCCACTATCGACGATGCGCGCGGTGTACGCGCAGCTGGCGCCGCTAATGGCGGGCATAATCCTTGTCGCCATGGGGCTGTTTATCGCGATCGTATCCATGCTAGACGTCATCGTCGCCGCGCTCTGCGCCACCGACCAGTGCCCCGAGGCGCTCATGCTCTCCGCCGGCAGCGCCACGGTACGGGATTGCGCACAGCGGTGCCAATTAGGTTACCCGTTGGTTCTCGGAATGAGTGGGCGTTAAGGCCCATGCCTTCTCACGCCCGCCCCTCGCGCCCGCCCCTTACGCGCATCCCCTTTTCGCGCCGCCCCTTCGCGCCCTTCCCACTTCGCGGCCTTTCCTCACGGCCGCCCCTCACGCGCATCCCCTTTTCGCGTTCCCGCTTCGCGCCCGTCCCTCGCGGCATGGCAGATAGGCGGCATAGCAAACATGATCGTGGCGCCCATATTCGGGAACCTTTCCGACAAGCACGGTCGCAAGCCCTTCCTGCTGCTCAGCATCGCATGCATCACCATCCCCAACGGTAAGCTCCCGCCGCACCTTCTCTGCACCTTCTCTCACCTCGCGGATTGCCTGTCGTCTGTCCTCAGCATCTCCCATTCTGTTGATCCATATTTGCTAGCTTTCGCCTGACATTACTTCTACCTCTCTTCTGCTGCCTCCCCGCTCTCCAACTGGACTTCCACATAATCGTCACGGTTCGCCCCTTGACCCATTCCCTTTTCTCTCCCCAACAACTTCCCGTCTTGTACCCGTTACAGCCATCCTTGCTACCAGCTCCAGTCGCCTAGCCGTGTACCTGTACTTTGCGGCGAATACGGCAGGGATTGCCCTGGGCAGCTCTGCATGGCTCGATCTTATTTATGTGTATGTGGTGGGTGTGCTGAACCTTGCTGAACCTTGCTGAACCTTGCTGAACCCACTCCAAGTCCAGACTCCTACGCTGCCTGTCTCTCCATGCCTCCTATCTTCCTCTGTTCAGCTTTCGCTGCTACCTACCTCTCTTTCCCCCTCTCTCCACCTCTCCCCTCTCTCGTTCCCGCCCCTTCTCGAGCTCCCCTTGCTCTGTGCTCCCCCCGCCACACCAGCCCTGCTCTCTTCTCTTCTCACCCTGCTGCCCTGCAGCTCTCCCTTTTGTCCGCATTTCTTATTTCTCTTCCCCCTCTCTGCCTCCCTCCCTCCTGCCCGCCCACCGTCTCTCTTTCTCTCTATCCACTGTACACTCTCTATCCAGGCGGATGTGACTGAGGAAACCGACAGGGCGGCGGCGTTTGGAGCCATTTCCGGCACCACTGCTGTTGGCTTCCTCGCTGGCCCGCTCGTCGCCCGATTCGTGCCGCCTGCTATCACCTTCCATGTGCGTCCCAACCTTTCTGCCCATACACGCACACACGCACACACCCACACACGGAACCACACACACGCACACAAGCACGACTGCCGTTATGGTCTAGTCGAGCAGTCCCATGCTCCTGCGTCTTTTTATTAAGGCGTGAAGCGCTGCAAAAGTGCTTTGTTTCGTTGATTTTCTCACTCGTGGTGGTAACCCCATGCGGACATGATGTGTGCAGGTGGCGACGCTGCTGTGCTCGTGCGGGTGGGTGTACATTCTCTGCATGGTGCCCGAGTCCCTACCTGACTCCCTACCTGAGTCCCCGTCTGAGTCCCTGCTCTCGCAACCCCTCCTGCGCAAGGCTGCCTCGCTTGCTGATGTGGAGCGTGGTCGTTCTCTTGCTGCCGCCGATGCTGCTGTGGCGGCTGTTGATGGGGTGCGGTTTCCACGAGGGGTTTCCGAAGGGGGTGGCGGAGTGAGAAGTGGAAGAAGAGGAGGAGTCAGTCGGGAGAGTACTCTTGCTGCCATTGCTGCTGCTGTGGCGGCTGTCGATGGGGAGGGGAATTCAGAAGGGGGTCAAGAAGGGGGTGGCGGAGTGAGAAGTGGAATAGGAAGTGGAGGAGGAAGTGGAGGAGGCAGTCGGGTGAGTATTCTTGCTGCCGCTGCTGCTGCTGTGGCGGCTGTTGATGGCGTGGGGATTGCGGGGGAGGGTCAAGAAGGGGGAGGGGGAGTGAGCAGAGGAGGAAGAGGTGGTGGTGGTGGCAGTGGGGGGGGTGTGGGGGAGAGGACTAGCCTGCTGGAAGGGTGTGGAGATGGAGGGAATGGGGAGAAGGGGGGAGGACGACAGGTAGGAGGAGGGGGAAGTGCAGGTGCAGGGCGGGGAGGGGCGAGGAGCGTGAAGCGAAGCAAGTCGGCAGTGTTGATGCGAAGCAGATCCACACTCAAGGAAGCCGCCATGCACATCAGATTCTCCAGGTGCCCCCGCTGCCCTCTCACTGCCTCTCACTGCCTCTCACTGCTGGAGTGGCACTGCTTTGGCAAATACCCGTACTTTTGGTGTCGTGCTCAACCACGAACCCACTCGTCTCTTGCTCTCGCCATCCTCTCAACTCACGCCATTCCCTTCCCTTCCCCCCCTCGCCCCGCTGTCCCACGTCTGGTGTCCCACGCGCCACGGGTCCCAGTCGCCTCGTGTCCATGCTGCTGCTCGTGGCCTTCCTGCATGCCTTTGCAGACAACGGCCAAGTGGCCAACATGCTTGTGAGTCGCCTTCCCTTCTTTTGTCCCCCGCAAGGCCCTCTGCTCCCTGCAACCCGCACTCTCAACGCCCACTCGCAACGCGCAACCACGTGATGCCTTCCGGAAAATTTCGAGCAATCACATGGTTGTTCTGTTTGGTCGGTCGCTCTCAAAAGTGGCTCTTTGCTCAGGACAAAGAGTCGCAAACATATGGTGCACTGCAGTGCACTGCACTCACTGTTTATGCCTCATCCCATCCCGCACCTCTCCCCCCCTTCCCCCCTCGCCAGTACGTGTTCAAGGCCAAGTTCCACTGGGGCAAGAACGACTTCTCACTCTACACCGCTGGCATCGGCCTCTTTGCCGTGCTCTCCCACGTATGAACCACTTGGGCTGCTGCTGCTGCTGCTGCTGCTGCTGCTGCTGCTGCCGCTGCTGCTGTTCCACTCTCCGTCACACCGTCCCTCACGCTGTATAGTCGCCTGCACTCTCATAAATGCACCAATTCTCACTCAGACCTCTCACGCACTCACACACGTTCTCATCCATGCTTGCACTCAATCGCTTGTTGCCGCACCATCCATCCATCCCACTCTCCACACCACATTGTCATGCTGGCACAGCAACCCACCCATTCTCAACCTTCTCCCCTCCATGTTTTCTCTCTCTCTCGTCCCCTCCCCTCCTCTCCCCCCCCCCTGTCAGCTCCTGCTGCTGCCCCTGCTGCTCAAGATGCTCCCCCTTCCCTCCCTGCTCATCCTCGCTATTTCCATCAACACCGTCCATGTGAGGCACACCCCCATCATTTCAATCACCCTATCATGCCAATCACCCTATCATGCCAATCACCCTATCATGCCAATCACCCTATTGTGCCAATCACCCTATCATGCCAATCACCCTATTGTGCCAATCACCCTATTGTGCCAATCACCCTATCATGCCAATCACCCTATTGTGCCAATCACCCTATCATGCCAATCACCCTATTGTGCCAATCACCCTATTGTGCCAATCACCCTATCATGCCAATCACCCTTTCATTCCATTCCACTGGAGCCACGTAGTATTCCTGTACATTGAATATAAGCCATATGAATGGAACAGAATCAGTGTGCAAGTATAATGATTCATGCAAAGGTCCGTCAGGGCCTCTGCCTAAGCAGTCTTCATCGTCACAGCTACCACTTCCCATTGGCCCTCACTTCCCATTGGCCCTCACTTCCCATTGGCCCTCACTTCCCATTGGCCCTCACTTCCCTTGCATGCATGAGGTGCCGCATCCATCCATATGTCTGCTGGTCTTTGTCTCCGTCCTCATTTCTCCCTGTGCCTGTGCATGTCTGCATCTGCACGTCACATGCATGCAGGTGGTCCTCTATGGGCTCGCATGGAAGCCATGGGTAAGTTCCGCCGCCTACCCCACTCCAATGCAATCCACTCCGCACCCACCCACCACCTCTTCCCATGCAACCTCCCATACCTGCCTGCTGCACTGAGTCTTGCTGCGCCCTTTGCCCTGCTTCCATGCATGGCCCCGTGAGCAAGCGCCACACGTTGCACCCAGCCTGACACGTGGCATGGCATGGCATGTGTGCAGGTGGTGTACTTCGCGCTATGCATGAGCATCATATCTGCGCTCACTCAAACCTTGGTATGCCCTCGCCTCACTTCTCCTTTCCTCTCCTCTCCTCTCCTCTCCTCCCCTCTCCTCTCCTATCCTCCTACCCTACCTCTCCTCTCCTCTCCTTTCCTCTCCTCTCCTTTCCTCTCCTCTCCTCTCCTTTCCTCTCCTCTCCTCTCCTTTCCTCTCCTCTCCTCTCCTCTCCTTTCCTCTCCTTTCCTCTCCTTTCCTCTCCTCTCCTCTCCTCTCCTTTCCTCTCCTCTCCTCTCCTTTCCTCTCCTCTCCTTTCCTCTCCTCTCCTCTCCTCTCCTTTCCTCTCCTCTCCTCTCCTTTCCTCTCCTCTCCTCTCCTCTCCTTTCCTCTCCTTTCCTCTCCTTTCCTCTCCTCTCCTCTCCTCTCCTTTCCTCTCCTCTCCTCTCCTTTCCTCTCCTCTCCTTTCCTCTCCTCTCCTTTCCTCTCCTCTCCTCTCCTCTCCTCTCCTCTCCTTTCCTCTCCTCTCCTTTTCTCTCCTATCATCTCCCCTTCTCTCCTCTCCTCTTGTATCATCTCATCTCCTCTCATCTCTTCTTCTCTCCCCTCCTCTCCTCTCCTCTCCTCTCCTCTCCTCTCCTCTCTCCTCCCCTCTCTCCTCTCCTCTCCTCTCCTCTCCTCTCCTCTCCTCTCCTCTCTCCTCTCCTCTCCTCTCCTCTCCTCTCTCCTCCCATCTCATCTCATCTCCTCTCCTCTCCTCTCCTCTCCTCTCCTCTCCTCTCCTTTCCTCTCCTCTCCTTTCCTCTCCTATCATCTCCTCTTCTCTCCTCTCCTCTTGTATCATCTCATCTCCTCTCATCTCTTCTTCTCTCCCCTCCTCTCCTCTCCTCTCCTCTCCTCTCCTCTCCTCTCCTCTCTCCTCCCCTCTCCTCTCCTCTCCTCTCCTCTCCTCTCCTCTCCTCTCCTCTCTCCTCTCCTCTCCTCTCCTCTCCTCTCTCCTCTCCTCTCCTCTCCTCTCCTCTCCTCTCCTCTCCTCTCCTCTCCTCTCCTCTCCTCTCTCCTCTCCTCTCCTCCCATCTCATCTCATCTCATCTCATCTCCTCTCCTCTCCTCTCCTCTCCTCTCCTTTCCTCTCCTCTCCTTTCCTCTCCTATCATCTCCCCTTCTCTCCTCTCCTCTTGTATCATCTCATCTCCTCTCATCTCTTCTTCTCTCCCCTCCTCTCCTCTCCTCTCCTCTCCTCTCCTCTCTCCTCCCCTCTCGTCTCCTCTCCTCTCCTCTCCTCTCCTCTCCTCTCCTCTCCTCTCTCCTCTCCTCTCCTCTCCTCTCCTCTCCCCTCTCCTCTCCTCTCCTCTCCTCTCCTCTCCTCTCCTCTCCTCTCCTCTCTCCTCTCCTCTCCTCTCCTCTCCTCTCTCCTCTCCTCTCCTCTCCTCTCTCCTCTCCTCTCCTCTCCTCTCTCCTCTCCTCTCCTCCCGTCTCCTCTCATCTCCTCTCCTCTCCGTTATGCTTCGAAGAATCACGCGTGCCAAGTGCATCTTACAATCGCGGCCCCTCTAACACGCCTCCCCTCCCCTGTGTTCATTTCCCCCCATCACATGCCTCTCCCCCGTGCAGATCAGCACCATGATTTCACACCTTGCAGGCCCCAGGGAACAGGTGACCCACGCGGGGGATGGAGGGGGGGGGAGGATTCTAAGACATGTCAAAACTCACAAAAACTCGCAAATCATGAGGGCCCATTCTGAACATTCATTCCAGTGAAAGTTGATGTGTGCATGTTCTTGCATGCACATGCCTGCGTCCATTCCCTCCCTTCCGACCCTCCGTCCTTCAGTCGTCCCTCCCCCTTTTTTCTCATTGCCTGAACCATTGGAACCACCATGATGAGCACCGCCCCTCCTCACAATCCTCCGCCACCTCATTTCTTCCCTCCCTGCGTGCTTCACCACACAGGGCAAGCTGCAAGGGGTTGTGTCAAGCATACATTCTCTCTCTGCTGTGCTCGCTCCTCTCACCATCAACCCAATCACTGGTAACCATTACGCCGTTACCATTACGCCGTTACCATTACGCCGTTACCTTTAGACCGTTACCATTAGACCGTTACCATTACGCCGTTACCATTGCGCCGTTACCATTACGCCGTTACCATTACGCCGTTACCATTACGCCGTTACCATTGCGCCGTTACCATTGCGCCGTTACCATTACGCCGTTACCATTACCATTACGCCGTTACCATTACGCCGTTACCATAATGCCGTTACCATTACGCCGTTACCATTACGCCGTTACCATTACGCCGTTACCATTACGCCGTTACCAATACGCCGTTACCATTACCATTACGCCGTTACCATTACGCCGTTACAATTACGCCGTTACCATTACGCCGCTACCATTACGCCGTTACCATTACGCCGTTACCATTGCGCCGTTACCATTACGCCGTTACCATTACGCCGTTACCATTACGCCGTTACCATAACACCGTTACCATTACGCTGTTACCATTACGCCGTTACCCATTACGCCGTTACCATTGCGCCGTTACCATTGCGCCGTTACCATTACGCCGTTATCATTACGCCGTTACCCTTACGCCGTTACCCATTACGCCGTTACCATTGCGCCGTTACCATTACGCCATTACCATTACGCCGTTACCATTACGCCGTTACCATTACGCCGTTACCATTGCGCCGTTACCATTACGCCGTTACCATTACGCCGTTACCATTACGCCGTTACCATTACACCGTTACCATTACGCCGTTACAATTACACCGTTGTGTGCTGCTACTCCTCTAAGTGTGATGGAGACAGCACGACGGTCCACGTTTGAGTCAACTCAAAATTGCTGCTCCTCCAATTGTGATGGAGACAGCACCATAATATCTAGAACATCGTGCCGTCTCCAGCCGTTGTACGTGTTACTTTGTGGTGGAGGGGAAGGGGGGGAGGAGAAGAAGTTCATTCGGCTGAGGTGCAGAGCAGGCGTATGATGGATGGTCAGGGAGGGAGCACGGGATCAGTGCTGAGGTAAGAGTGGTTCTCACTGCACACACCTTGCCTTGCAGGATCGCTCGTGTTTTGAGTCGACTCAAAGCACACCTTGCCTTGCAGGATGACTCTTCTTCACGACTGTAAGAGTGGTTTCCAGTGTTTACTGTTCTCTCTCTTATCTTCTCTTCACTTCACTCCTGCAGCTCGTCTGTGAATCCTTCCTCATGTCCACCCATCCACCGTCCACAATCCCATCCTGTGTCCCCTCCTCCCCTGCACCTGTCCCACCAGCGTATTTCATGTCGGACTCAGCGCCCATCCATCAGCCTGGTGCCGGCATCCTCGTGACAGCCATTGTCGAGGTAACACCACACCCGCATGCTCCCCATGCTCCCATGCCCCCATGCCCTCCATGCCCCCATGCCCTCCATGCCCCCATGCCCTCCATGCCCCCATGCCCTCCATGCCCCCATGCCCTCCATGCCCCCATGCCCTCCGTGCCCCCATGCCCTCCATGCTCCCCTGCTCCTACTACTCTCAATCCATCATCATTGTGTTACCCCTCCTCACCACTCGTCACACCTTGCATCTGCACCATTCCTTCACCCCTTTCCAACTCCTCTCTTCTCGAGTCAAATCTGTACCCATCCTCCCCTTCTCCCCTCTACACCCATCCCATCAACTCCCCCTGCCCATTCCTGCTCTGCCGCATGTGACATGTCATCCACACCACTGGGTAGGCGGTGGCCTGTGTGCTTGTGCTTGCACTGCCGCCTGCTGCTGGCAAGACAGGTGTGAGGGCACTAGACGTCTCTGCCTCACCAACGCGTGCTCGTGCCGAAGCTCAGGGTAACGTGGAGGCGGGTAGGCATGCCTCGAGTGCCGCAGGTCGAAGTAAGGGAAAGCGCACGGTTACTTTTGAAGAGAGCGTTTCTAGCCCTAACAGTGGCAGCAGCAGCAGCAGCACCGGCGGCAGCAGTAGTGGCAGTGGCGGCAGCGGCAGTGATGGCAGTGACGGCAGTGGCAGTAGAGAAGGAGATGGTGAAGGCACGCCTGTGAGGACTCCTCTACTGCTCTACTGTCCTAGCTTCCGACAACCACTAGGCGCCGTTTCTCCACTATCATCGACCGACGTGCTTTAGAAGTTCCTTCCTCACATTGTCTGGGGTGGGTGGACCGGTGGAAAGCTCTTACGGTATGCGTTGGATGAGCCGATGTTGGGGCTTTCTTGTCTAATTATTTTTAGGCGTGCTGGGTAAGAGGCGGCAGTGAGGTACACTTTAGAGAGCACAACCCTTTTAGGGTTGACATACCTATGTATGTATCCCCATGCTTTCTAGCTCACACCATTCCGCTAGTGCTATTCTGAAACTGCTTCACGGCATCTTATTTATATTTGACTTTACTGTATACGCTAGCAGTAGGCGTGTGTGAGGTATATGGATGGAAGGGATATGACCACATTGGTCCACGTTTTTTTGGCAGTGCGTTGTAGATGCATCAAGCAAGCAGCAGTGTGGAAGAGGGGAGATACTACAGTACGACGGATGGGAAAACAAATGAGGGAGGAGGAGAACTGATAGTGTTCTGCTGCCGCAAGCGGTTTTTGAAATCTCCCCAAAGCCCACCTGCCACCATCAAATGAGTATTGTGTAACAATCATCAAACACACAAGCAAAACACCTTGAAGAATGCAGTACCGTATTCTCCCGGACATAACACCCTAGGGTATAGCTAAAAATACAGGGAAAAAATGGGGGGGGTCTCCTCATAGGAAAAAAATACATAATACCTGGGTCTTTACATATGGCATATTTTAGTGTTAGAGTTTTTTTAATTAGTCAATGTGGGTGTTTTGCTGGTCCTTTTAGCATCACTGCCTGAGGCGCGAATGTGAGTTTCGGCCTCGAACTTCATCGCCCTCACGAAAATGCCATGTGGCACCTCTCTTGCCACTTGCAACGGAAGATTCACCTGCACGTGGCAACAGAGAAATAGTGGGAGGGGGCAAATCTCGGCAGATTGCCTTTGAATGTACCGCGAAATTTCATTGAGGGAGAAATTCACACGATATTCTTCCGTATTGCAGCTACTCGTTAACGACTATAATAATGAATCTGTAAGAAAAGGGGGGTGTTATAGAAAATCAGCCAAAAAGGGGGGTATAGTAGAAACGAGGTCTATCATAACACCCACCCCGCACAAGCTACCCGGGGGTGTACAATTATGGGGGGGTGTTTTGTCCGGGAGTATACGGTATCTGCCTTTTGAGGTTGTTTGTGCAGCAAGGAGCGGCACTTCCCCACCACCGCACTAACCACTAACTACACAAACCGAATCCTCCCCGATAGTCATTGTCACACGGAGCCACGGCTCTCTTTGACGACTTTACACGTGAGCAGCACCAGCTGGCTGATGGGCAGCCACTGCGTTTTGAGACATCTCAAACCCGTCTTCAACACATTTGGAACGCCTCAAAACCATTTCACACCGGGCCGCGCCTCTCGTTGGCCACTTTACACGTGAGCAACACCAGCTGGCTGATGGGCAGCCACTGCGGTGCAATCACTCGCCGCTCTGCCGCCACGCCTCCCGATGCCCCTGCTGTGGCGAGAGCGCGGTCGAAGTGCACAAGGCTCTGCTCCTCACCCGTCCTCTGCCCCTCTAGGACTCGGTCCACTATGCTCCCCAGCCATGGCTCCTCCTGTACCACCTCCCATAGCCCCTCCAATGCTCCCATACTGCTGCTGCTGCTGCTGCTTCCACTCCTGCTCTCTTCACTACTGCCATCCCCACCGCTTCCGTTGCTGCTACCAGAGGCATCAGACACGGGCTGCTCGGAAGCAGGCGGCATGGCGCCCTCGAACATGCCAAGGCCAGGCACAGCATGGCTCACATCCATCACACTGCTGCCTCCGCTGCTGCTGCTGCTGCTGCTGTTACCGCTGGGGGTGCCGTGGCGTTGCTGAGAGGCGGGCATGTGGATGAAGGAGGCGCCAGGCTGCTGCAGGTGCAGGCGGTACATGGTCAGGTACACCTGGTGGCGGTGGATGGGAGGGGTGACAGGGGGAGGGCGTGGCGTTAATGGCAAGCAGACAGGTTGGTGGTGGTAAGGCGGATGACAGGGCATGCATGCGTGTGTGAACGCATGTGTCGGTGTGTATGTGTGCGTGTGTGCATGTGGGTGTGTGTGTGGGTGGGTGTGTGTGTGGGTGTGTGCGTGGGTGAGAGCAACATATTGCAAGGTGGAGCGGGGAGAGGGGGGGGGGGCGAGCAGCAGGGCAGGGCAGGTCAGATCAGGGCACCGTTTTGATCCACTGTGTGCGGTAGTGCTGCTCGGAGGACGTGAGCCTGTACCCCGCCTCGCTCATCCTGAACTCCTCCCCCTCTGCTCCCCCGTACTGCTCCCACCCATGGGGAAGAGGATGGGGGTATGGGGGGATGGGGGAGGGGGGAAGGGAAGGAGGGAAGCAGTGAGTCTCAAGGGTGTAAGCACCAGGAAATGATCCACACCTTGAACGCATGCGTGCATTCGTTCGTGTATACGCTTGAACACATTCAGTGCGCCATGTGTGAACTGAAGACTCCGTCCCTTTTTCCCCCGTTCCCCCTGTTCCCCCTCCTGTTCCTTCTGTTCCTCCCAACTTCCCGCCACAACTGTCCATGCCCCCACTCACCTGCAGCTGCAGCAGCAGGCGCTGCAGCGAGTGCCCGGCGAGGAAGGCGTCAGCCGCAGCGGCCACGAGGTCGTGCAGTGCCATCGCTGCTGGCCGCCCGCTGTTGCTCACACACACCTGCTCGCACCGCTCACGCAGGGAGCACGGGGGGTGGAAGGAAAGGGGCGTCAGGAGGTGCTGTGAAGGGGGAGTGGGAGAGAAGCAACGGTGGAAGGCAGTGGGTGGGCTGTGCTCATGGCTGCACCCTTCACGGCAGGCAGCGTGCATGGGCAGCGCACCTCGAAGAAGCAAGCCTCCACGCTGTTAGCCAGCTCCTCCAGCGACCTGTACCCGCCGCTTCCTGCTCCCCCCGCTCCCCCTCCGCCTCGCCCGCCACCCCCCCTGCTAACCGCATCCCCCCCTGTTGCCTGGCACCGCACTAGCTCCCCCACTCTTCCGCCACATTTCCCGCTCGGTCTCCCCCAGACCGCGCTTTCTCCGCCTGCTAGGCTTCTCCCCGCGCCGTGTCCTGCAGACGCTCTTTCTCTCCCCACGAGCACCCGCAGTGGCGCGCAGCGGTGACGCGCCAGCTGCGCGCTTGAATCCGCCGCACGGGTTGGCCTGCTCCCGGTGGGGAAAGGCCGAGCGTGGCTCCGCGGATACCAGCGCGTGCACGAGGGGCGGAGGGCGGAAGTGCACGCGCGGGCACTGGGCGGCGCGCTAGCGCCTGCGAGTGGCGCTGGCGGCGGCATGCTTGCGCGGTGGGCGCGCGGGGGGCGCGCGGACAATGAGCAGGGCTGCGCTGTGGAAGGGCGTGGCGCTGGGAAGGTGGTGAATGGGGAACGGTGAGAGCAGTGAATGGTGGTGGCGACGTAATGGCGGCGAGAGCAGCAGCGACGAGGGTGGAATGGAGGGATTCAAGAAACGAGAATCTCGCGACTAGGTAGAAAGGAGGACATGGTATGCATGTGCTCTAGATATTTCTGGAGGAAGATGTTAGTAACGGGGATATTTGAGCTGGCACGCCACGTTTGCCTGTAGTTACACGCATCGCATTCAAAAGCTTTTCCACAAAAGAGGCCTTCTAGACAATGAGCCTCTGATTTTTCCCTTTCTATTCTATATCCATCCTTTGTGCTCATGCTACATCTGAGTCCTTTTAGTTGGTCAGCCATCCTTGTGTTTATGCTGGCATGGCATGCACAGTGACACGCCCGCTCCTCATATCCCGCCATGCCTCCAGTCTGTGTAAGGCACCTCAAATTCAGCACCCATGCCTGCATGCTACATTAAATCCCACAACCACCTTCTCTCCCCCCCCCTCCTCCCTCCCTTTTCAGCCACTTCCCTTCAGCACAACCTCCCCTCCTCGCTCCTGAGTCCTCACACGGTCTCCGCCTCCTCGCGCCTCACCCCGCCCGACAGCCTCCTCCCAGTCGCCGAGCTGGCACTCGACTCAATCCCCGCAATCATCTGCAGCTCCTCTCTCAAATCCCTGTGCGTCAGCCTTAGCGACTGCATCTGCTCATCCACCCGTTGCGCCATGCGCCCACTCTCCAGCCCGAAAAACTCCTTCTTCAGAGTCTCCAGCTCCGTCGCCGCTTCGCCCATTGTCGGCCGCGCCGCTGTCAGCGCAGCCGTGCAGCGCAGGGCCAGCCGGGCCATGCGGAGCACGAGGGAGTCCGGGGCGCGCATGAAGGGGTCACCTATGGCGCTGATTTCCCCCGAGGCTATGCGCTGCTCCACCCACTCCTTGATGTTCATGGGGGCGCCCCCGTCCAGAATGAACACCACTCTGTGGCCTGTCAGCAGCTCCAGCATCACTATGCCGAAACTGACCACCACCACATGCCACGGCGGCATGAGCAGAGGAGGTGTGGGTGTGGGGGTGGGTTGGGGGGAAAAGTGGGACAGATATGAGAAGGAGGGAGGTATACAACACCACTCTGTGCCCTGTAAGCAGCTCCAGCATCACTATGCCGAAACTGGCCCCATGTGCCATGGCAGGATAAGCAGGAGGGTTGGGGGTGGGGGAGGGGGAGGGGTTGGGGAGGAAGTGGGACAGATATGGAAAGGGAAGAACGACCCAGAAAGCCGGAATACAGGGTTGCAGACACAGATTTACACAGAAACAGCATGTACAGGATAGAGTAGAGGTGGTGGTGGTGAGGGAGGGAGGTGTGTACCTGTAAACATCGATGGTGGGCGTGGCCTTGTGTGTGAGCGAGTATGCAGGGTCCACATAACCCGGCGTGCCCATCACCCGCGTGGACTGGCATGTTGTGCCCTCCACCATCCTCACCAGCCCGAAATCCGACAGCTTCGCCTGAGGAAAGGCGAGGGTGTGTGCCACGCGTGAGAGTGAGGGAGCGAGTGAGTGAGCGAGTCAGGGAGCGAGTGAGAGAGGCCAAAGAGAGGGAACAAGACGAGAATGAGAGATTGCTTTTTGCACACGTGTGTGCGGAGAGAGTGCGTTGGGGCTTGGGAACGGATGGGGGGGGGGGGAAGCTAGAGGGGAGTGGGAGGTTGCAAAGCGCGCTTCACCTTCATGTTATGATCCAGCAGGATGTTGGCGGGCTTGATGTCGCGATGCACGATGCCAAAGCTGTGCAGATACTCCAACCCGCGCGCCACCCCTATCAGAATGTCCAGCCGCTGCCTCAATGACAGCGGCTCTGGGGACGAGCCTGCATGGGACGGTGTCAGGCAGGCGAGCAGGAGGGCGGGAGGGGGGAACGTGGGAGGGTGGGAACTTGGGACAGGAATGCTTTGGCACACTGTCAGTGGGGCTGGTTTTCCTAAACAATGTATTCTTTACCTGGGTGCAGGCGCTTCTCGAGGTCCCCATTGGGCATGAACTCATAGATGGCAATCTGCTCCATGTTCTCCGACGCTGTATCGCCGTCAATGCAGAACCCCAGCAGCCGCACCAGGTTCGGATGATGCTTCGATGCCATCTCGTTGATCTAACGCCATGGAGGAGAGAGGCGGGAGAGAAAGAGGTGAGAGGGAGGGAGCATGAGGAGGGGACATGGAGGGGGTGGAGTAGGACATATAAGGGGGGTGGAAGCACAGGGGCAATGCGCAGCTCGCAGCGGTGAGCACTGTACTTAAGCCCTTGCTTTCATCCCCATCCCATTCATATCAGCCACATCCCATCCCATTATTCTGTGCTCACCTCGCGTCGGAAGTCGTTGGTGAGCACTTTGGCGCGCTTGACAGCCCAGGGCGTGCACCCATCAAGGGGGCTCACTCCGCGGTAAACGTCGCCAAACCCGCCGCTGCCGATTCGCCTCTCCGCCGACCACCCGCCCGTTGCTCGCACCACCTCCGCCACACTCACCTGCTGGCACAGCAGCGGGCCCCTCCGCTCCGCTGCTGCCACATCTGGCCAACCACAGTGCAGCACACAGTGATTGTTGGGTAATAATTCACTTGAAGCAAATGTTTTTTTACCTTAAGTAAAATGCCATGGACAGCTTTGCATCAATGGTTTTGAAAGACGGCAAATAGGGTGAATTAGGGCTTCATCATGTGAGTGCAACACAGGGTGGTCAGGCAAAGAGAGAAAGATAACACAGTGTAACAAGGAGAGAGGGAGGCCGGAGAGGAGGGACGCAAGGTGACGAGAAGGTGTGCGTGTGGGGTGTGTGGGTGGGATGTGGTGGAGTGATCGTACTTGAGTTTGTTCTTGCAATGGTGGTGGTCGTCGTTGAACCTGGTTGGGTGATGATGGCAGGCCATTGGGATGGGACACACCCAGCAGACGGAGGAAGAGAAAAGAAAGGGGGGAGGCGTGGGGGAAAGGGGTGAAGGCAGAAGAAGGTAAGCAAGCGGACATTGAAACACAAGGGGACGCATTGCATGGTGGAAAGAAGATGCCTTTAAGATGCGCTGTTGCACTGACACAGAAAAGAGGAGACAGAAAAGGCATCATGGTTAGGGACGCAACAGTGAAGCAGGAAAGGAAAGGCAGGCACTCTTGGAAAGGAGCGTCAAGCAAGCATGTACAGTAGGAACCGCACCGCATCTCGCTGAACCGCACACACATCACCGCGCGACACACACACACGCACGCACCTGACACGGCTTCACCAGAGCTCAACTCCCCACTGGTCCCATCGGCAGAGCGGGCAGCATCAGGCGAGCAGTGCACGAGGTCAGGCCACTGCGAGGCAATGAAGAGCTTCACGGCCTCGAGATCATGGATGACGCGTGCCATGGAGGGGCGGCTGTCGGGGGGCATGGCAAGGCACGGCAGGGCGAGGTCCGCCATGCGCACCACCACGCTGTCTGGCGCCTTGAGATGCGGGTCGCCGATCAAAGCCACGTTGCGGTCGTACAGACACTGCACCACCTGGAATGGGGGGAGCGGGCGTGGCAGGGGGGACGGGGAAACGGGGACAGATTACCAGCGGGCAGCAAGCCTTGAGATACGGGTCGCCGATGAGTGCCACGTTGCGGTCGTACAGACACTGCACCACCTGGTAGGTGGGAGAGCAGACGGCGGGCGGGAAGGTGGGACGGGGCGAGAGAAGGAGGGGGGAGATGCCTTTTAAAGGAAGGAAAAGGGGGTGTTGAGGGTGAAAGGGGAGGGCGGGGGGGAGAAAAGGAGGGGAGGGAATCTATCCAGAGTGCATGGGTGTATGTAGTGGCTTCGGCGAGATTCGGAAGCAGTCGTCGTTCGTTGAAACCCGTATGACATCACATGTTATCATGGCAACATGATGGGTGCACCGCCCACTACCTGTCGTCAGTCGCTCTAACAACATCCCAACCCTCTCCTTCAGTGCTCCCTCACTGCCGACATGATGTCCCCCCAGTGCCTATCATGAACCAAGAGCAGATTGAGTCTGATTCATTAGTCCATCTGAATTTCACCCTTCCTCCTCCCAGCCAGCTATGCAGTAGCATGAGCACAGTGGGTGCGTGCTCACCCATCCCTTGAAGTTGCTGTCTGCATTGCCGTCCCACTCCACTGCCTTGCGCCCGGTCAGCATCTCCAGCATCACCACTCCAAAACTGTTGTTGTCCATGCACGAATAACACACAACACGGGGAATTTTGAGGAGAGGAGGAGGTGGGGGCTGAGGAACTCAACTAATCAAGGCGCAACAAGAGCAACAGCTGCTGGCAATTCCATGTCTATTCATCACAACTGCCTTGGGACCTTGCACTGTAACGGACACCTTGTTTTGCCACAAACGTCCATGGTGCACACACACACGCCAAACGCACTAGCCCAGCCCCCACCACACCACACACAGGACACCACACCACACCACACCACACCACACCAGAACAAACAGCGCCGCACTCCACCGCACAGCACCCACCTGTACACGTCGGCGCTGGGGCGAGCGTTCCTGTTGGCGCGGGAAGCGGGGTCGATGTAGCCATGCGTGCCCATGGACTGCACCATGTGCTCGTCATACCCCATGCGCACCGCCCCAAACGCTGATATCTTCGCCTGTGCAGCGCGGGAGGGGCGAGAGAGGAGAACGAGGTGGGGGAACGGGGAGGACAGAGAGGTAGCAGGAGAAGGGAGACGGGAGGGAGAGGGAGGAGGGAGAGGGGTGGGTGGGGAGAGAGGGGAGGTGTGTGTTGGGGGTGGGAGGAGTGGCAGGAGAGTAGGCGGGGTTGGGAAGACCCATGTGGCATGCGTTCACTCCACTGCAAAGGCAATCACAATTCCCAACGAGCTTGAGAGAAAGGCGAACGAGGAAAGGAGGAAAGGAGGCAATGATGGAGGTTGGCTTGAGAGATTGCAGCGGGGAGAGAAGGCTGAAGAGGCACATGGCGTGATGTGATCTGGGTGATGCGCGTGGAGAAGAGGGGTGGGATGGGGGAACGGGAGGACGGGGAAGAGAGAAAACGCAGTGGGTGGGACTCACCTGCATGTTGCTATCCAGCAGGATGTTGGCGGGCTTGATGTCGCGATGCACGATGCCAGAGCTGTGCAGAAATTCCAGCCCGCGGGCCACTCCTATCAGAATGTCCAGGCGCTGCTGCAGGGTCAGCGGGTCACGCGAATCTGTGTGGGCCGGGGTGGCGTGGAGCACGCTAACGGAGTGAGTGAGAAGAGAACCCAGAGAGCGAGCACACAATGACAGTGACATCGGGTGCAGGAGCAACAGTGAGAGGGAGAGGGAAAAGAAGAGAAACGAGGAGGCCGGCGGAGGGATTAAGAGAAAGAAAAGAGAGAGGGGGCGGGGAAGGAGGGAGGGAAGGGGGGCGGGGAGTGGGGGGTAAGTTGCAGGCAGTAACATGAGTCCGTGCGTGCATGTGTGAGTGTGCGGTGAGGAGGTGAGGTGACCTCGGCTGAAGCGGCCGTGGATGCTGCCGCCTGGCATGAGCTCGCAGATGACGATCTGCTCGTGGCGGCCCTCGGCCTCGTTGAAGTCGTTGCAGCACCCTATCAGCCGCACCAGGTTCGGGTGGATCTTGTTCGACATCTCCCGCACCTGCTCTCTCCCATCCCATGCACAACGCCACGCCATGGGATGGGGTTGCATGGCATGGGGATGAGATACAGCAGGCGAGCAGGGCGCACGGGGGGGATTGGAGGTGGTTAAGCCAGAAGGATATCCTGTGAGACTCGCATGTGCATCAACAGTTTCCTCAATCACACACTTCCCCCAACCCCCTTCCCCCATTCCCCCTTCCCCCATTTCCCCTTCCCCCATTCCCCCTTCCCCCATTTCCCCCTTCTCCCTCCCCCCATCCCCTCCTCCGTCCCCCCAGCGCACCACTCTGCCGAAGTGTTCGGTGGGCACGGTGCAGCGCTTGACGGCCCAGAGCGAGTCGGGGTTGAAGGGCGACGTGCCGCGGTACACGTGGGCGAACCCGCCCGTGCCGATCTTGTTCTCCTCCGCAAAGTAGTCCGTTGCCCGCGACACCTCGTCCAAGCTGTACTGCTGGCACGACCCTGCAGGGCGAGTGTGTGCGGGGTGAGAGTGGGGAAGGGAGGGGTGGGTGGGGGGAGAGAGGGGGATGGGTGGGGGGATAGATGGGGATGGGTGGGGGGATAGAAGGGGTGGGAGGGGGGAGAGAGGGGGAAGAGAGGGGTGTGTAGGGGAGCGAGTGTGCTGAGTAAGGAGCCGCGGCTTACCTGCACGGCTGGCATGCTGTGGAAATGACTTGCCGGGGAGTGCACTTGAAGACGGGCACACCGAGTTGGGGCGCACCTGGAGGCGAGGGGGGGCCACCTGGAGGGGGGGGCGCACCTGAGGTGGAGCGGCGCAGCTGTCTGTTCCAGAGGGAGAGCAGCAGCGCGAGGGACACCAGCACCAGCGCCGCCTCTGACGTCACCCCCGCCGCCGCTGCCCCCGCGGCTGCCCCCCACGCCGCGCCCCGTGCTGTGATTTGCGGAGGGAGCGATGGAGAGATGGCGCCGGTGGTGCGGGGTGGGTACGGGGAGGAGGAGGAGGCGTGGAGGAAGGAAGGAGAGAGGAATGTGGGGCGGATGGTGGGGAGACGCGCGAGGGGGTGAGCGGGATCGAAGGGCGGGTCGAGGGCATGCTGGTGGGGAATTTGGGGCGCTGCCATTGGTTGAACACGGGGCGTGGGGGGGAATGGGGCGAGGAGGGAGAGAGTAAGCGGAGACAGAAACGACACAGACAACCAGCACATTTGTCCCGTCGTGAGCCAGTCACAGCCACGCTACACACATATAAATTGCCATGATGGCACCCACAGCCACGTCACGATTCACCAATGGGAATGCCACGTCACCTTGGATTCCAGCCACGTCACGCCATCTCTGCCACGGCCAGCTGGACGTCGACCCCTCCACCACTGCCTCCGCGTACCGCCCCGGGTAGGCTCGAGGCATGCTTTAGGGTTACTCGCTACTGCTAACACGCGTGGTGCCGGGAACTACAGTGGTTTCAAAAGCTGATGTACAGTCTAGGTATGAAATAATAAATGCCGGCTGTCGACAAGCCTAAAGCGGTCTTAAATAACTAATGCAATGGATCGGCCGTTAACAGAGAACTAGGTGGCCGTACACGACGCGCCACTATCCGACCGTCCGCGGAATCATTGAAATGTCACGGGTGTTCCGGAAGCAATTAGGACACGGGATTGTATAAAACGCTAACATGGCGAGCTGGCGTAGAGGGGGCGTGCTAGGCCGAGAGGACTCCTGAGGCCACTGGGACGCGCAACGAGGACAGAGAGAAAGTGGAACGATGCGACGACGTGTCAGGACGACGATGGTCCCGGGAGTGGAGATGGTGCAGGAAGGATGAGCGAGGAACAAAGGTTCCTCGTCTGCTCGCCCGCATTGCGCGCCTCCCGTAGGTGGTGGTTCGGCTCTCCTAGTTGATCTTTTTCGTCTCGTCAAAGATAACGGTCCCTCGAGCAATGCTCAATGCGACGTGGTCGAGCTCTTCTCGCACGAGCCCCGTGCTTTCTTGCGGCCGTGGATTATGACACGTGGCATGCTTTCTACAGCGCTTATTGAGGCGAGCGCAAGATTGGTGACTTTTCTATTACGGAGTAGCAGATGCGGATTTACGAAACGAGAAAAGCGGGTTCGATAGCTGGATGGCCGGAGAGAGGAGATGACGGCAGCGCGGCTGGTCTAGACTTGTCTGCAACGGCACACGATCGCTGCTGCCGAGAAATGCGAGCATAGCATGCCTCCCCAAGAAGAACCTGTGTCATTCGTCCCGTCGAGTGATAACCTTACTGATACTCCACATCACAGATCTCAGGTCGCGCGAGGGATTACGCCATCGCCAATGCCATGTCTGGTAAGCTGAACGCTATGCTTCTCGGCCTGGAAAGCATCTGTCGTTCAGCATCTTTGTCGCTCTGCTGTGCTTTGCCTCATCTCTCTCCTCTCTTGCAGGGCAGCCAGCTGGTACAGGGAGGTCATCTCTCCCGCCTGCTGACACTGTTGCCATCCACTTCTCACTCACATGACTGCACTGCACTACGCAACCAGTGCCATTGGCTTCGGTACAGTGTAGCGCATGCTGTCTACTGCTTCTGCTCCAGCATTGGTGTTATCCTTATGTAGAAGCTTTAACCGAAGACTTTGAGAAGTTGTAGAAATCTGAGTTAAAATAGCATTTTTATGAAAGAATATATCGTGCACTTTGTGATACTGTTTACTCTGTTGCAATGTACTGTATATATCAATATTGTGTCTGCCCTAGGCATGTTCGAGTCACACCACAACGCCGAGGTGAGGAAGAAATACTCTCATCCCTCCCGTGCCGTGCCGTGCACTCCGCTGCATTGTGAATCCCCCAGCTGGTGGTATTGGTGGTTCCACAATTATTGCTCCTCTCCTCGTGCTGCTGCACTTCCACAAGCACAAGCGACTGCCCAGGCTATGCTTCTGAAAATTATGGACCGCAACATGGTAGACCCGCCAGGCATTGGGCTTAGAATTCTGGTGGTTTCGGCCTCTCACCGACTTTTTTTTCACTGTTCCCCTTGCTCTTGTCAAGCAGTTCCCCCTGATGCCATTTGGTTTGGAAGAAGCCAGTCGCACCAGCAATTCTACGTCACAGCCTTATTCAATCTCTTGATCCATTTCAAGTCGCCATGGCTCCACGCAGCCGTTTCCGCTCCAAATTCCCCGCGTTGATTGTCCTACTGGTCTCCATGCCTCTGTTCGTCTCATCAGTGACAATCGACAACTCCCAAGGTCCGTTTCATTCCGCCACGCGCGCCGTTCCGTCATGGCGCCTCATCTCGTTCCGCGTTATGAAACCTTTTTTTTCGGCCAAGCCGTTCCTCCCTATGCAATCCCACGGTTCGCACCTGCTTCAGTAGCGAAACCCAACAGCCGCTCCGGCTTCTCCTCACACCCGTCAGTCTAACCCCGGCGACCAGCTCACCGAATCCTTTCGAGGCGCCTCAAAAGTCACATCCTTTCCGTCCGATCTTCCCCGCGTGTCCCATTGTCCCCCCATCCCCGTGCACGCTCTGTGCGTCGCCACAGCGCCAGCTCTGCAGGCTATCCAGGATAGCTGGGGGATGACCATAACAAGGATGGACCAAGGACGGCTCCTGCGATAAGGCCTCGGGGTTGACGTGCAGCGCGAGCGGCATGGTGGAGGACATGTAAGCCCAGCACATCGCAGCACCGGGCAGCACCGTCCTGCACGCTCTTATCTCTCGCACTGCCTGCGCCAACCCCCCCTCGGGCCACCTCCTCCAGTCACCCTGCTTCCTACCTGCTCCCGAAGGCCTTTGAGCGAGTCATTTCCTTCGTCTTATCCCTGCCTTATACAGCAAGAACAAGCAGACAGACGTGCAAGCAAACGTGTTCCCCGTATCAAGGCCAGGGCCATGCTCCAGGCCGCGCTGTACCATACCATGCATGCATGCACAGTGCAGTATCCAATGTCTATCTGTGCCTTAAAGGGCGAGACCCGAGTCGCAAGGCTGGAAGGCAAACTGTGCACGGTTTGCCTTCCGCAGTTGCTGGTTTTTTTGGGTTTGATACAGTTCCGCGTTCTTGCCGAACCTCCACCCGCTTCACTGATATTCGAACCTGTTTTTGGGGGGCGTTGACTCGGTTGTGTTATTCAAGTTTCGCCCATTCCCATTAACGTTCTGAATGCGATTCACCCACCACCTCCAGATCCCTGAGGAAATCGGACAGCTCTGCAGGCTTCACCACACAGACTCTCCCGCTAGCACTTTTCAACCTCACCTCTCTCACACGCCTGTCAGCCTCCCCACTTGCCCTCCACGACTGCCCCATGCTTTTTAGTCAACAACGCATGTCACATTCAACGTGCTCCTCTGCCTGACCTCACTTTCCCGCCAGATTCTCGCATCCCTGCCTGTGCCCCCCTTGTGCATTCTTGCCGTCCTTCCATCCAACCTGCTGTTGTGCGATGCCCCTAACTTCTTGTTCTTTCCCCGAGTCACCCCTCCCTCCCTTGATGTTCCTTCCCTCCCGCTGAGCTTCCTATGTTTGCATGTGCTTCACCTCACGAGAATATACCGTAGCATTTCCTAGTGCCGGTGTGCCTGCCCCTAATACTTTTCGCATCCACCCATACGTGAAGCAGTACCATACCAAGGCCACCAACACATCATGCTGTGTGTGTGCGTCCCTTCGTGTGTCCCAACAGGAGACTCACTCACTTCAACATTCAAGGGTCCATCCCTGAAGCCTTGGGAAACCTCCTTCACCTACAAGTCCTGTACGCCATCAACTCTCCGCCCTCCACCTTCCGCCCTCCATCCTCCGCCCTCCGCCCTCTACCCTTCGTTCTTGAAATGCCTAACCACTTCGCCTTGCGCTGCTGCATGTGCGGGTGTGCCTGTGTGTAGCACACACTCTCCCTTCCTGATCCTCACCATCACTCTCTCTCTTGGTGCGCACACCACCACGCTCTCAACCCTTCCTGCCCCCCCCCCCTCCTCTCCTCCCCTTTCCGTGCTCCCCCATCCCCCTCGCGTGCTCCCCCTGCCCGGCCTCCCGCCCCTTCTTTGTGCTTCCCTCTCCCACTTTCCTGTGCTCTCCCCCCCCTCCTCCCCTCCCCGTGCACACAAACCCCGCAGGGCGTTGTACAACAACAACCTCACAGGGCCGCTGCCAGCATCGCTCACCAATCTCGACAGGCTCAGCATACTGTGCGTGCCTCCCTGGGCCCTGGGACCATTGCGCTGCACCGTCGCTGCAGCCACCAGAACAGTCCCCTCTGTTTTCCTGCAGAAATCCAATTCTGTCCTCTCTTTCGCCTGAAACGTGTCGCCCTGTCTTCTCACCCCCATCCCTCCATTCCAACCCTCCTTCCCTCCCTCTCTCCTTCCCTTCCTCCCTCCTTCCCTCCCTCCCGCCCTCTCTCCCTCCCTCCATCCGTCCCTCCCGCCCTCTCTCCCTCCATCCATCCGTCCCTCCCTCCCGCCCACCCTGGATGGCTGCATGATGCCATGCGGGCAGGCAGATGGACTTCAACCGGATCACGAGCCCTATTCCGGAGCTCGCCCCAACCATGGAACACCTGTATGTCATGCTCGCACACATTCCGACCACAAGCTCCTCGTCTTCCACTTGTTGATTCATGACGTTTGCATCTCATCATCGCACCGTTCCCTGTCAGTCAACACTCCTCCTCGAACGCTTGATATTCATGCCAGTGCACTGCACATGTGTGCATGGCACCACCACCCGCACCCCCCGCACCACTTGCACGTGGCAGGAACCTGCAGTACAACCGCCTCACAGGCACCATGCCCGACTGGCTCTCCAAATTGAAAGGCCTTCAGCCTGTACGCCCATGCTTCCGATCGCCCATTGTCATTGTCACACACCTTGCATCCCCTCACCTCCCTCCCTCCCTCGCCCGTACTCCGATCTCTCTCTTTTCCCACCCCTTCCCCTCGCCCCCTTGTTCTGGTTTCGTTGCCTTGTTTGCCTGGACGTTGTAGGCTCATATCAGCAGACTCGCGGATGAGAATCCTGTGTGCGCAGTGCATCTCATGTATGCTGTGGCCGCCTGCGAAATCCGCCTTCTTCCGTCCCCCGGCCCCATGATCCAACTAGCAAAAAAACGAACACCTTCGAGGCGAACCGAACAGGTTTTTTTTTTTGGCTTCAAGTGTTCGCTGAACAGTGTTCGAGGTTCGCCCGAATACGTTCGTGTTCGGGTTGCTGCTGCAATTCGCCCCGCGACGAACACGAACGTGCTCGAGGTTCGCCCGAACACGCCTTCACAGGCGAACGGCGAACACCATTTTTTGCTCCAAGTGTTCGCCGAACCGAACAGTGGCAACTGCCCATCTCTTCTGTTTCCGCCATCTCTCCCACCCTTGCTCCGTTCCACTTCTCACCTCAACCCTGTCTCCCTCCACCTGCCCCCGCCTCCCCTTCCCCCTTGCACGCGCCCTTTTAATGCTCTCATCCTCCCCTCATACCTTCCACAACCACCACCTCATGGCTGGCGGGCTGGCAGGAGCCTGAACAACAACAACCTCACGGGAACCCTTCCAGACGGGATTGCCCAGCTACGTAGCCTCACCACGCTGTGAGTCGCAGCCTCACCACTCTGTTACAAGGTCGTCTTGCTTGCATACTGCCATCTCCGTGCCTTGTAGCTGCTCGGCATCCGTAGATAGCCTCCCCACTTCCATCGCACACCATCGTGCTTCCAATACATCAAAGCTCGTGCTCCCCCGCTCACTCACCACTTCCTGTACCCTTTTTATGGCATGTGTGTGGCATGGCATGACATGGTGTGTGTGCGGCACTGGCAGGAGGTTGAACACGAACGAGCTGAGTGGATTGGTTCCAACATTCCTGGGGGATCTCCGTGCTCTCAAGGACCTGTGAGCCCGTATGCCACACTGCACGCATGGCACACAGCATGGCACACTGAATAACTCCCACTTAGCGGCCCCACTAAGCGGCCCCACTAAGCGGCCCCACTTAGCGGGCCCACTTTGGAGCTGCAGATTCTTCTGCGCCTGGAGCTGCAGATTCTCCTGCGCCTGGAGCTGCAGATTCTCCTGCGCCTGGAGCTGCAGATTCTCCCGCGCCTGGAGCTGCAGATTCTCCTCCTGCGCCTGGAGCTGCAGATTCTCCTGCGCCTGGAGCTGCAGATTCTCCTGCGCCTGGAGCTGCAGATTCTCCTGCGCCTGGAGCTGCAGATTCTCCTGCGCCTGGAGCTGCAGATTCTCCTGCGCCTGGAGCTGCAGATTCTCCTCCTGCGCCTGGAGCTGCAGATTCTCCTGCGCCTGGAGCTGCAGATTCTCCTGCGCCTGGAGCTGCAGATTCTCCTGCGCCTGGAGCTGCAGATTCTCATTCGTCTGGAGAGCTGCATGACACCTCCAATCGAAACCTTAACTCACTCTTCTCTCTCTTCTTCTGCTCCCATTGTTGTGTCTCTCCTTCGTCCACGCCCTGTCACCTCCCTGTTCCCGTGCTCTCTTCTCCTGTGCCCCTGCAGCACGCTGCAAGGCAACCAGCTGAGCGGCACCATACCAGCCACCCTTGGAGGGCTTGATGCACTCAAAGACTTGTGAGCCTAGCCAAACTCACCACCCCGTTTCCTTGCACACTGTATTTGTTATAAGATTTTCAGCAACACCCCTGCCCTTGTGTTCTTCCTTGCACTCTGCCGGCCTCTCTCTCTTCACTTGTCCTCCCCCTCCCTTTAAAAAAGCATCCCCCTTGCACCACCTGGTGCCAATTCTCGCGTATCCCCATGCTGCTTCACCGCAGCCAGGTCCCGGAGAACCTGGCATGCCCGGACAACAGCACGTGGTGTGTGGTGCCGCAGACCAACACCACAGCCTTCTGCAGCCACTGCAGCGGCTTCTGTGCCACTTGCTCCCTGGAAGGTGCCCTTACTACCTCTTCTTCCTCTCTCAATCCATTCCCCGCCTTCTGCCCCTCTTCCTCCACAGTCGTCTCTCATTCCCGACCTGCCGCTGCTTCCCCTGCACCGCATCCAGCTTTAGGTTCCCCATGGAACCCGTCCCGTACTGCCTGCCTCTGCTGCACTCCTCGCTCGCTCCTGCCTCCCTGTCAACGAACGCCGCTCCGCGTCACATCTCTTCATCCCCGTGCCCCTCCCTCCCCACAGCTCCTCCCTCGCCGCCGGTGGACCGTTGCGCAGGCGTTGTGTGCTCGGGAAATTTCATGGTGTGCAACGCTGACACGGGCACTTGCTCTCGCGAGCTCCCCGCGTGGCTCGTGGCCATCATCATCATCCTCAGTGCACTACTTGCATTTGCTCTGCTCTGCCTCGCTGCTGTGTGGCTCTACAAGAGATGCTTCAGCAGCAGCAGCGACAGCAGCAGCGGTTACCACAGCATGTACCCAACGCAGCGGTGGTCATTCGGCAAGTCGTCACGAGTCGGTAAGTCATGGTGGCTATAGAAGCTGAGAGTCAAGCTAGCGTTTCCTCTTTGTAGCGATGTGATGCGAGGGCTTCATCTCATCCCTCGCACCCACCGCCCTCTCTCTCCATTCCATCACACGCCTCGCTCAAATTTGTTCCATCGCTCGTCCACCCACCACAGGATCACCACACATTGACCGATGCCTGCGAGCAAGCACCAGGCCACATCTTCGCTCCTTGCCACCCTTGTCACAACGCACGTCTTTTCTTTTCAGACTTCGTCAGCAACCCGTTGCCATATGATGCCCATCAGCCCACCCAGGAGTGCTCTGAGTGAACTCAAATTACCACCTATCCTCACGCCCCTCGTCCGAACCAAACTCCCAGGGGCAGGCGCATGGGCGGACTCAGCAGGATTGTGTAGAGAGTACCCGCTGAAGCTGGTGCTCAAGGCCACCAACAGCTGGTCGCAGGAGAATCTGCTGGGGTCGGGTGGATACGGCGACGTGTACCGCGGAGTGAGCCCCCTCGATGGCTCGCCCTGGGCTGTCAAGCGCGCCAAAGTGCTCACCAACGACTTTCAGAAAGAGTTATGTGTGGGGTGTGTGGAGAGTATGTGTGGGGTGTGTGTAGGGTATGTGGGGTGGTGAGCGTGCGTGCGTGCGTGCATGTGTGCGTGCGCGTGTGTGTGGCTTGGCCCATCCGCGCCTTCTGTTCCTTCCCTGCACGGGCACGCACACCACTCCACTGACCCAACCACCACACACAATCCAGATGCTCTTGTAGCACCACCCAGCACTCCACAGGTGTCCCAGCCACGTGTTTTGTTTTGCTCTTCAAAAATCCCGTTGCCCATGCTCACCACTCTACACCACACAACACCACACCACCCACCACCCACCCACTGCAGGTGTTACAGATGTCGTCAAAGCACCACCCGCACCTGGTGCGCCTTCTGGGCTTCGCTATGGGCGGCAATGTGCGGTCGCAGATAGAGCAGGTGCTCATCTACGAGCTCATGCCCCATGGGGACCTGCACAAGTGGATGGGCCGAGGTGCGCACCACCCACACCACACCGCACCACACCGCACCGCACCACACCACACCGCATCGCTCACCACCCTGTCACGTCGCGCTTTTTCAAGGCCATGCATGAGCCCATGCCCTTTTTCCTTTGTGTAATCCTTAGGATATATCTCCTCTTGTTTGTGTGTTCCTTCTCCTTGCGTCGCAGTTGCTCTCCCCCTTTCCATGCCCGCCTCCCTCTTTGCCTTCACTTTGGAAACAGTGATTCCATTGTCACTGTCATGATTCCGCCTGCATAATCATAATCATGCATAATCATCCCCCTGCAACGTGTTCTGCCTTCCCCTCCATCCTCTTCCCCTCTCCCTATTCCACATTCACCCCCCCCTGGCCGGGCCTCAGATGCTGTGGCCCCTCTGACCCTGCAGCAGCGGCTGGACATTCTCATCGGAGCAGCGCGCGGGTTGGCGTATCTGCACAGCTTTGGCATCGTGCATCGCGACATCAAGCCCGCCAACATCCTGCTCGACGCACACATGCAGGTGCTTTCCCCCCCCACGGCAGTCAATGCTTCTTAACAACCCAACATGCATGCATGTTCAGGTGATGGTGAGTGCGAAGCCAGGTGCAGGTGCTGGTGCTGGTGCTGGTGCTGGTGCTGGTGCTGGTGCTCGTGCTCGTCCTCATCCTCGTGCTCGTGCTCGTGCTCGTGCTGGTGCTCAGTGGCCTCGGATCAGCCATTGCTCATCTGTGTGCTCGGCTTTCTCTCTCTCTCTCTTTCATCACAGGCCAAGGTTTCGGACTTTGGGCTGGTGAAATTGGGAGAGGGGGAACAGTCCGTGCAGTCAACGCGAGTCTTGGGAACTCCAGGCTACGTGGACCCTACATATGCAAGCACCAAAAAGGCAACCACCGCTGCTGACGTGTACAGGTGTGAAGTCCCTTTCTTTGTTGAGCTGATGAAAGTGTTGAATGTAGAGTATGTGGGTCTCAAGCTAAATTCGTATGGGGTTTATATCGATCTTTTATATTCTCGAACCTGTTCTGTCTGTTCGCATTCTGAGTGCATGGTATGTTCCTGTCACCTGCAAACCTACATACATATCATCTCTTCCATCCCCCCATCCTTCCCATCCTTGGCAGCTTTGGCATTCTGATGCTTGCAGTCATGAGTGGGCGAGAAGCAACATTCATGGAAGCCAAGGAGCAGCAACACATTCTCTCCTGGGTAAGCCTCTCCGCCCCATTCTCTCATCTTCCTCATTTTCTTCTCAAAGTTCTAAGCGCCTTGGTATCGTCTCACTTTGTGGGTGCGCCACTAGTCCCTGTCTCGTTCTCTTGTTTTTTTTCTTTTCTTGGCATCGCTAGACAAACTTGGAACATACCATACCACCCCATCCCTCGCACAAGGATGCTATAGTTATAGCAAGCCACCGCGAGATTAAAGTTCAGCACACTTCCTCCCTCCTCATGCATGGGGTGGGGAACCCACTTGCCAGGTGCAAAAACTAGTGACAGAGAACAAGATGGAGTGCATCGCAGACCCTGGTATGGAGGCGCCACATAATGCTGTGATGCACGTGGTTCAGCTCGCCCTAGGCTGCACAGCCATGGTCACTGCCTCACGCCCGACAATGGCACACATTGTTCAGGAGTTGGAGGCAACACGGGAGCTGGTAGTGGGGGTGGGAAGCAACAAGGCATTTGACCAGGTCGACAACGAAATGAGAAAGGCAACGAGTTTAGGTTCTCTGGATGATGAGATAGAGCGGGTGTTAGATATAGATGTTGACGGCAATAGAAGTGGTGCCCCATCACGTTCAAATGTCGTCAAGGTTAACGGAGATAGCATAGGTTAACACCATTGCTTATACAGTAATAAAGCAGAGCGCTACAACATTCCCTGATATAAGATAGTTTTGGTCTAGTGACTGCATGGGCTTTTTCTATCAAATGGAGCACAATATGTGAGCTTTAGATATTGAGTTTAACTGTGTGTAACCTGTGCATAAGCTGTTAGTATCACAACGGAACCTCAAGCCTCGGTGGTACTGGGGAACTCAATGCGGCGGTTGTTGGCTCGCCCTAAATCGGTATTTTCTCTGCTTGCGTTGCAGAGGCCACAGACCGTGTGCTACGCAAGTAATTTAGAATCAGGGCGACCCGCGTCACCGCAGCGGATTGGTTCTGTGCTCGCAGAGAAGCTCTTGGTAACTGTGTATCGAGTCGCTTAACACAGCAAGCAAAAAGCACAGCGTTGATTGCAATCATTGCTTGTGTCGAAACAGCTTGAATGAGCTTGTGAAAAATATTTCAAGGGTGTATTGCTGCGGTTGTATCGCGCGTATCCAGACCCTCCTTGCGATTACATAGACACCCTGTTCTACCCTTTCTTTGTGTTGGGCATCAGTGGCAAATCTGGACGACTGGTCGGTTGTCGCCACCTTCCATCGACTCCACTCTGCTTTCGCTACAGGAATTCGATATTTTGCCAGTCCGAATGTGAAAAGCTGCTTCTACTGAGCTGAAAACTACACGCTTCGTGTTTCTAAGTTGTTTCCAGTTCTGGCTGATTAGAAGTGCCGTCCGTTCCTCGCCTCGCTCTGCGACTGCATTAGCTACCACGGTTGCGCGTTCTTGCCAACCTTGGTCTCAGCTGTCGCGAAGGCTGCGACTGTCGCTAGGGTTACAGGCCTGACATTTCTGTCGAGGGAGCAGAGGGCGTGGAGGCGATGATAGTATGCGTGGGCATCGTGGGCCAGGCGGTACGATGAGCACATATGAGCTACGTTGAGCACCGCATACTGCCTCTCTCGTTCCCCTTATCTTCATTCCTCTGATCGCCCTTTCCTTGCTCTCCTCACAATTTCTCACTCTGCCTTCCTCTCAACCTCCACTCCACCCGCCAAAGCCTCCTCCCTCTCGCTTGCCTCCTCCTCCTCCTCCTCCTCCTCCTCCTCCTCCTCCTCCTCCTCCTCCTCCTCCTCCTCTCTCTCTCTCTCTCTCTCTCTCTCTCTCTCCCTCTCTCTCTCTCCCTCTCTCTCTCTCCCTCTCTCTCTCTCTCTCTCTCTCTCTCTCTCTCTCTCTCTCTCTCTCTCTCTCCCTCCCTTCCCCCGCCCCTCCCCTCTATTTATCCTCCCTCCCTCGCCCTCGTTCTCCCTCTCACTCCTCACATTTTCTATCTGCTTTCCCTCTTTCCCCCCCCCCCACCCCCCCCACCCCTCCTCCCCCAATGCCGCAGAACAACCCGCTGTACCTGCAGAGCTTTCTGGAGGCGGACGATCCGCTCAAGTTCCACTTTATAGTGCACTGCTCGCTCGACGTCATCGATGAGCGCGGTACGCAGGGTGCACGGCAGGGGAAAATCCGGGCTTGATGAGAAGGGTGCCTTGGAATCATGGGCGCATGAGAGGGATGGGCAATGTATTGTTGCATTTTTTCGTTTTGTTTTGAGATGGTGCACAGGATAGATCAAAGAGTGGGGAAGGCGAGATCAGTAGAAGCACATTCTTCTGAGGTGCTTTGAAGTCCTCTTTTCGTCCTCCCCTGCCGCTCCGCAAACCGCCCACCGTTTTACCCTTCTATCCATCTCCACGCTCCTGCTTTGCCTTTCCAGTGTCGACACCCCGCAGAGGAGGCGCCAACGAGCCATATCTAGGCTTGCTTTATCCCACAGAAGACTTTAGAGTGTAAGCGAGAAGTAGCACTGACTGATCAGGCATGTCATGTGTGTGTTCTGCACTCTCCGTTGCCACATGGCTGTCGACCTTTCAGTTCATCGATGTTTCCATCTCAAATGTTCTTCTTTGTGTCCCTCCATGCTTATAATCTCACCGTTCTCTGCTCGTAATTTGTTGAAGTTCTTTCAACTTTCACCTTTCCATCCACCCTATCGCTCAGGTACGGCTATGTGAGCAACACGCAGATTAAGTTCATAATAGTTGTCGATGGTCTTGATCTGAGGGAGAGCGACATAAGAAATGTAAGGAAGCCATTTTTGCTAGCATGAGTTCGAGCAGGCATTGCAGGCAAATGTGTGTTTATTTCTTCCCCGTCCTAACAAACTTGCTGGTGTTGTTTATTTAGGCCAACCATGTTAGTGCACTTTCCATCTGTCACCGATGCATACTGCCAACTCCCATATGATCCCACTAATTCCCAACTCTTGGCACCCCAACCCTTTTCCAAACGTTTCCATTGCACATCTCCTCTTAATCAGTTCTTCAAGCGGCTTCATTCTGCATATGTTGATGCCACCTCAAATCCCTTCCACGTTCCTGGGAAGCGCATCTCTTCACCTGCTTTTGCAGAAAGAGTTGGGGCGCTAGTGCATTCAGTGTCTCCTCCTAAAGCAACTTAGTACTGTATCAGATAGTGATATGCTATGCGTCCTGCGTTGTTGTCAAACCCGTTGGTTTCCTGCTTGTAGTTTTGTGATGGACGTGGGTCCTTGAATGGCAGCACACGCGGATAAAGTGTATCGTCTTACATACCGTAACAGATATTCTGTAAGGGTTTCATGACATTAACCAAGGTGTTAGCATATTGTGAATCGAAGTAGCGAGCGTTGCACTAAGGTGTCAAACGAGTACAAAATGTGAGCTAAGGCATGAGTGAACATTTATACACGAAACATGCAAACGGTAACGCGGTGCGTGCGAGCTAGCTAGTGCTATGCTGGAGGCGAGGCTCGGGCTAGTCCCGAAGCGTAGGCCGATACGGCCAGGCCAGCAGTGCGAGGTTTGGTGAAACAGTGCGCGCGAAGTCGGCGAAGCCCCGTTAGCAGTAACGGGCGAACAACGGCTGCTGCTGTACGCGATGTTGCAGGGCGCGCTAAGGAATATCGAGAAAATTCCTTACACTACCCCCCCCCCCTCAAGAAGCCCCCTCCGCTACGCGAGTGCGTGTATATCGCAGAAACCCCGGCTCCTCAGGTACACTTGCAGGGCAGGGTGGTTTCCAATGTTGGCCAGGGGCACCTAGCTATCTTCAGTTGGCGTGCGATCCTTCCAGCGAACGAGGAATTCAATCCTCCTGATTCCCGTGGGGTGTCGAATCCGATGGCTCAGGATTTTTTCGGGCTCGATGATCGGCTCCGATGCAGGTCGAGTCATGGATGGCGGGCGGTGACGAGGCAGTTGGCTTGTGGTTGGAATGTATGGGCGAAGCAGGCTGGCGTGGAACGAAGGGCTGACGTACCAGTCCGTCGGCAACAGTAGGTGAGCTGTCACTGGGGTAATCATGTGGTTGATTTGGAATGGTCCACAGTAGCGGGGTCGTAATTTCGGGACGACGGGCAGTCTTAAGTTTTGCGTGTCGAGCAGTACGTAATCTCCTGACTTGTACGTGACTGGGCGGCGGTGGCGGTCAGCGTTGCGCTTAGCAATGACGTTGGCTTTTTTAATTGCTTCTGCGGCTCTGGTGCAGGCAGCTTGCAGAATTTCGACGAATTGTTGTGCACGTGGTGTTGGGTTGTCCGAACTCGGCGTCATGGGCACTGTAGAATTTTGTCCGTAGTTCAGGTAGAAAGGGGACTGCTGCGTCGTCGCTGATGTGGCGTTGTTATACGCGAACTCGATCATGTCAGAACTAGCAGTAGAAAGTAAGAATGAAGAAAGGAGGAGGTTCACTAGCAAGCAGTTGAGTACATATAGGAAACCCTAGATTGGGCTGTACTCGCTATAGAGTACCCCACTGCAAGCTAGACAAATACAACATTCTGACACACCCCCATAGCCAAAGTGGGGTGTAATCAGCACAATGAGCAGGTATAGCAGGAGTTCACAATAAGAAGCAAATCTAGAGGTAATCACAGCGGGCAAGTGAGGAGGAGGAGGGACTGTGAGAGGAGAGAAGATGAGAGACGGCGGCTGAAGCTGCAGACACACGGGCAACAGGAGCTGCTGGCACAGTGGCTACCGGGACAGTGCGCCCCGGACTACTGGAGTAACTGGCTCACGGGCTACGACGAGCTACAGGAGCAACGGACCCTCGGGCGACAGGCGCAGCAGACTCTCTGGGCTACCAGGACAGTGCGCCCCGGACTACAGGTGCTGCGGACGACAAGACAGCAGCCTCCGCTCAACCTCCTCCAACTGTCCCACACACCCCCCACACACCCACTGCTTCACTCCTAACTCCACTTGCACGTCACCCCCCTAGTACCACTCCTTCGGCTCCCACACACCCACCCCCCTCAGCGGCAGCTGCAGCACTGGGAGACGGAGGAGGAGGAGGAGTAGGGGACGACGCACAGAAACTGCACCCCCATACCCCCCACCCCCAAACCCTAATTCAGGAGAACGGGCAGCAGCAGGGGTGGGGCGCCGTCAGAAGCACGGGGGACAGCGGGCAGCGCAGGGGCAGAGAAAACAGGGCGCCCACGGGCCTGGCGCAGCCCGTACGAACCGCGTGCGGGCGGCCCGAGGCGCGCCCTGGCCTGGCGCAGTCCGTACGGGCCGCGCGCGGGCCTGGCGCTGCCCGTACGGGCCGCGCGCGGGCCTGGCGCAGCCCGTACGGGCCGCGCGCGGGCCTGGCGCAGCCCGTACGGGCCGCGCGCAGGCTGTACGGGCCGCGCGCGGGCCCTACGCAGGTCGCGCAGGCCTTGACGGGCGACGGGGGGCGACGCGCGGGTCCCCGTCGCCCGTCGCAGCGCCTCCCGGGAGCGACGCGCGGAGTGACGGGGCAGAAAGCCGCCGCGCGCCTCGGGGCGCACGGCGGGCAGAAAACCGCCGCATGCCTCGGGGCGCACGGCGGGCAGAAAACCGCCGCACGCTCCGAGCGCGCGGCGGGATGAAAAATCCGTCGCACGCCACGGGGCGTGCAACACACAGAGTAGCAGTAGCAGCGGAAGCAGTGAGGTGGTGGGCCCACCCACAGGATCGACCCAAGGGGATCGACCTGCTCTGATAGCATGTCAGAACTAGCAGTAGAAAGTAAGAATGAAGAAAGGAGGAGGTTCACTAGCAAGCAGTTGAGTACATATAGGAAACCCTAGATTGGGCTGTACTCGCTATAGAGTACCCCACTGCAGGCTAGACAAATACAACATTCTGACAGATCAGCGGCAGCTGCTGCTCCCAAGTGGTCGAATCGTCGCACGTGGCACGAATCAACTGCTCCATCGTCTGATTCGTCCGCTCCGTTTGACCGTCGGTCTCGGGGTGGTACGACGAGCTGAACTGTAGCCTTGTCCCGAACTGCTCCCAGAGGTTCTTCCAGAAGTTGCTGGTGAACTTCGTGTCGCGGTCGCTGATTGTCGCGGATGGTATCCCGTGCAGTCGGACGACGGCTACGATGAACAGACGAGCGGTTTCTTTGGCTGAGATCAATTTCTTGCACGCAGCGAAGTGTGCCATCTTCGTCAACCTGTCAACGACGACCATAACCGCGTCGTTACCCCCAGGGCTCGAAGGTAATCCCGTGACGAAATCCATGGTAACCTGCTGCCAGGCGCGCTCAGGCGGTGGAATCGGCTGCAACTGACCCGCCTTTCTTTTTCGCGAGCTCTTCATCACCTGACACGTAGGACACGAGCCCACGTGGTGTTGTACGTCGGTCAACAGCTCCGGCCAGTAGTAATACCGCTGCAGTTGCTGTCGCATTTTTTCTACCCCGAAATGTCCTGAGGTAGTCCCGTCGTGTGCCTCCTGCAGTAACAGTTCCCTGAGTAGCGAGTACGCGGGTACCCAGATGCGGTTGGTGCCTGTTTTTACGTAATAGACTCCTATGGCCTCTGCCAGTTGCTGTGAATTTCCGGTCGTGAAAAATGGGTCGGTACTGTATCCGTGGGTGAATAGGCATGTTAACAGTGGGTTGGTTTGGGCGAGTAGGATGGCGTGGAGTTGGGCGGTGGGGCGTGTGAGTGCGTCGGCGATGTTGGATGCGCCTTCTTTGTACGTGACCGTGTAGTGGAAATTGGACTCCAGATAGTCCAACCAGCGGATCTGTCGTGGGTTGAGATTCGGTTGGGCGCGCAGGTACTGTAGTGATCGGTGGTCTGTCCGTACTGTCACGTCTGCTCCCGTGAGGTAACATCGCCAAACCTTGAATGCGTGCACGATCGCCAGCATCTCGCGGTCGTGTATCGGGTAGTTGCGTTCGGGCGGATGAAGCTTGCGGGACTCGTACGCGATTGGCTGAAGGCCGTTCCCGAAGTCCTGCAACAGTACTGATCCCACAGCGATGTCGCTAGCTTCGGTGATCAGCTCGAACGGACGGTGCGGATCTGCGATGTGAAGCACGGGCGGTGAGCACAAAATATTTTTGAGGGCCGAGAAGGCAGCTTGCTCTTTCTCCCCCCACGTGTACTGAACCCCCTTCCTCAGCAGGTCGGTCAACGGGGCAGTCAGCTTCGCCATGTCGAGGACGAACCAGCGCACGTAGTTGACGAACCCCAAAAAACTCTGCAGCTCGGTCAAGTTGGTCGGCGCGTGCCATGCTTGAATCGTCGCAATTTTTTTCGGGTCTATTTCCACTCCTGCAGCTGAAATGATGTGTCCCAAAAACTCCAGCCGGTCCTGTAAAAACTCACACTTAGACGCTTTAGTTAGTAGGCGGTTCTCACTCAGTATCTTAAAAACTGCCTCGATGTCCTGTAAGTGCTGTGCTCTGTCGGGGCTATAAATCAGTATGTCGTCCAGGTATACGATGACGCACTTATCTAAAAGCGGGCGGAATGCTTCGTTCATGGTCATTTGAAAGGTGGCGGGGGCGTTGGTCAGTCCGAAGGGCATGACGGTGTGAAAGAACAAGGAATGGATGAACTAGCAAGCAGGTGGGTACAAGTAGGAAAACCTAAAAGTGTTGTACCCCATATTGTCTACCCCACTACAGCCTACACAGACTATAGCATATGAGTTTGACACACCCCCATAGGCTAAGTGGGGGAGAAAAAGAGGTCACAAGACCAGTCAAGCAAAGCAAAGCAAGCTCAGGGTGGATCACAACGTCACCACACAGTCCGAGCACAAGAGCAAGGCCACAAGGCCAGTTCACATGCAAGAACATATATAAAGGTAGACAAGCAAGTGCAAGTATAGAAAGATCACAGTACAAGCAAGGTCAAGAAGTGAGCAAGTGAGGCCAAGTAGGCACAAGACCTAGCATCGTACAGAAGCGCTGATGATCACAAGGCGGAAGTGCCTTGGTAAAGATATCAGCAGTGTTGGCCTCAGAGGCCACGTAAGCAAGGCGCAGCTGACCACGCTGCTGCAGCTCACGAGCAAGGAAGTAGCGAAGAGCAATGTGCTTCGTTCTGTGCTCCAGTCTGTGCTCCCGACACAAGGCCAGCATGGCCTTGTTGTCTACGTACAGACCTGGAGGAGAACGAGGCGGCTCTCCTAGGTCAGTCAGCAGGTA